TAATGGAACGTGTTTTGTCGAACAAATCCGCACAAAAAGACAGCGGGCCACACATGGGGCAAGACATTGCGGGCAAATAATCCCGGGCAAACATTAGGAACTTATTTTCCAAAGTGGTCTCGGAACCATCATTTTGAAGATAACTTCTTTACCAAACAAGTAAAGAGCAAACTGTCACACAAAGGGGGTTGCCTGCAAAACGCCCGGATTCGCTTATCTTGCCTATTTTGGGGGTCGCTTTCCTGTTCAACTTGTTGTTTTCAGGGGGGGGGGGGAGTACTGAAATTCCCAAATCAAGGCCTTGGCCTTTTGCTTGTAAACCGTGATTCGCCCAACCAAGCTCTTCCCAGCTCAAAGGATAAAGGCAATCAAGTTTGCAAGTGGCCTCCAGACCGTCGACGCCGAATTCAAGATGACTTCTCTGCAAAAAACAAGTACGCGCAAAAGGGGTTGCCTACAAGAGGCCCTGACTCTGTTTAACGTGACTGTTTTGGGGGCTGCTTTATTGTCCAACCTCCTTGTTCCGACAAAACAATTATCCTTAAGCTACTTGTTGCGTATGTGTTCATCTTTTGCGGGCACATGTTCGGAGTAGTTGTGCTTGGTTGCCTTGCCCAAGATTCTCCAAACACTTTCCTTCATTGATGCTGCAACTATTACTGCGGCGCGCATGTCGAAAAACATCCGCACTTACTGACTAATCGTTTTTTTCCATGCTCTTGGACTGTTCGGAGCGGGGTTGCCCCGAACCACGCAACGCGGGCTGCAAAGCTCCGCAGAAGCAAGCCGAGCATGATGCACAGAGGCCATTGAAGCAAGCGAGCAAGGTGGTTGGGCGGCGTTCCTTGTGGCTTCCCTTTCGACCCACCTAAAAGTGCGCCCTCAACACCCATGCTGGATCTTGGGGCTCAAAGTGGCATGTCCTTGCAAGAGCTTGATTAGTCCCTCAAACAATTGGAGTGCCCTGGATGAAGGGAATTTACCCCAACCAGGTAACAGCTAAGACTGCCAGTGATTAGGGGTCAAAGCAGAATTGTTTCCAGTGTTGTTCGCCTGAGTTTCTTTGTCCATCGCATCACACGCAGTCAGGTTGACCTTTGGGTGCCTTGCTTGCAGTCTAGCATTGCCAACTTCTCAGGTGGGGATATCTTCCAAGTAACAAGGGAATCCTCTATATTTGCTTTTTTAGTCCCCCGGAAAAAAAAAGTCCAGTAGTGAACTCGATTCCCTTTAAAACCAACAGGGGAAAATAACACATATTCTTTTCAGCAAATGGAAGATAAAACATGGGTGTGTCCCTGGTTTTAGTGGGGACTTTTGGAAGGGGTTCACACCCCCCTTATTAATAAACTGGTTGGTTGATTCATGGGGGTGTCATACCCATACCCATACCCAGGTGCGGACATCTTCGAAGTAACAAGGTAATATCGTTTTGTTCTGCGCCGGTCCCTGGACGGAGCCTGCGCCCAGCAACTGCAGGGCCGACGCCTAAAAACGCTTGTGGCAAGAGGCTAGGTCCTCCAGTAGATTGAGGTTAGAATAAGGGTACCAGACTTGTTTTTCTGTAGTCTATTTAGTAGGGGAACCCTCCCCCCAAAAAGGCTAAAAGGGCACTACTGGGGGACCTAGGAGGGGAAGTGAATGGCTGGTAGTAACAGCAGGGATCATTCTACTTTCCACCAAAAAAATTTGGACTATTTAAGAGAAACCCACTGTTGAAAGGCCATGACATGTCCTGATACTGCAAGGCTCGATCCTTCACAAGAATGGAAACATGAGAACCCCTGCTACAAATGACCCGAAGAGATGGGTGCGATCTGCGGCTGAAGGTGCGCATAGGTGCTCATAGCGTGCCATTGCGAGCCACAAACGGACGCCGAAAACACATTGCAGATTGCCCAAAGGACCCCGGAATCGACGATGAACCTTTCTCACTTCCTGAGTTGACGGGCCAAAGAAAAGCAGCCAAACTTCTTGTCTGCCGCCAAAATGATCTTCCCGAAACGTTCGAAGTCCAGGAACTCAGGGAGTGAGCCGTTGGGACCTTTACTAAAAGTGGAGAAGAATCGTGAAACCAAACGGTCAAAAGGTTGATTCGCTTTTTGCATCACTGAGTTACAACAACAAGAAGCCAGCAAGCCGGAGCTCCAAAAACTAGCAGCGGCCATTGGACAGCGCCCAGCTAGATAGATTGACGTTTCAGGCTATGATATTTAAGAGTTCCCACTCAAAAGTGGTGGACTCTTGAACGCCACCGAATTTTGACGCCCACGTTGGGCCAATTAAAAGGCATCAGCCATGGCAAGGTGGCCAGAAGGATTCTTGGCCACTAGTCACTGCCATTGGACCTGCTGCGTTTCTTTGGCGTTGCGTTAAGCCACAAGCCTCACAGGGCGCTTACTGGAACAGATTTTGTCATGCGGCTGCAGTAGCATGATAGTTCCAAACATAGCACCAGCGAACAAAACCCTTTGGCAGGATGCGACTGCCATTGATCCTTCCAAACAGAGAAAAGTGCGGTTGCTGTTGTTTTTTCCTGATTTTTTCCGAATACCCTTGCTGTGTTTATTGGTTCCAGAGGGAAGGCACAATGCACAAGGAAACTATACTGCTACCCTCCCACCCACCCACACGAAGTGTGAGGGTTTCTTCAACAGCACACTTGGATTGGCTGTGAAGGGTGAGTGTACCCCCCCCGGCGATTTTTGGAGGACTCGCTATTCTTGAGATCAACCCTTGGGGATTCCGTGAAAAACCTTTCAACCGAAGACCATCTGGCGCTCAGCACAGGGCCCATCGCTTCTCCCGCACCTGGTGGCCAGTTGCCTACCAAGGGGTCCGCCCCGAACATTTGCTGAAGGCCTTTGTTGGACCAAACTGCTTCAACTGTCAACTGAGAAGATGGCCGTTTAAAAGTCTCAGGGATGGTGTGAACTCCTGTTGAAGCAACTTCGGAACGGTTTTTCCTTGCCAGCTGGACATCGGTTTCAGCCCAAACCTCCTTGCGGCTTCCCTTTGGCGACCAACACCTGCAGCCTCCCTTGGATTTCCTTCGAATACAAATTGCAACTAACCTGAAGGTCCAGTTGATACAGACCTTTTTGTGCGAATCGGCACGAGTGACTCGGCGCCAGTGCGCCTAGAATTTGGGGCATTCGCTTCGATCCTCTGGGGCAAACGCCGGCCCTACCAACCACCCGCGACCCCAAAGACAGTTTCAAGGCTGCGGGCGTTGAGCCCCAAACAAGGCCACATAAGGCCTAAACGGTTGGGGTCACAGGGTCCCTGAAGCTTGTTCCACTTTGGGTCCCCCATCTCTCTGCTTGTTTTCTTTGCGAATCCTGTTTGAAGCTTGAAGGGTCTTTCTTGGTATGATATCCTTGAAGTTCCACATTGGCCATTGCCTTCTCCTGTCCACTTGATTCATGAATGTGCGTCCTTCTCCTCCAGCCTTGAAAGTGGACCAAACCATCTACCGGAAGCGACATGGTTGTCTCTACTAAGTGTGCTTGCAGATCTATCAACGGCGGTCTCCCTGTTCGACTCCTTGTCAGTTGAAGGGCCTTCCTGCTTCGGCCTTTGCCCCATCCATATTTGGTGAACCTTGAGCTATCAAATGATTCTAAAGAGAACCCGCCTTCTCTCACTTGATCATACTCGCTTCAAATTCCGGCATCGCACTCCGAAATAAACCCATATGGTGTCCCCTCCAGAACCCCCCTGAAAGCTGCCGCAAACCACCTCAGAGCCTATCTGGGACTATCGCCCCCATAGGTTCCAGCTGTGGAAAAACTTGGGAGCCATGCCTTTCTCCCAACTACCTTTGGCTCCATGGGGCACCAACTGCCAATTCCTGTGGCCCGTTTACCCCAACGGCTCCGGGTGATGTCGCCGTCCAGACCAAAGCACCTGTTGTTTGAGGGCTCTCCTTTGAGACCCCAGTATAACTGACAGCAGGATCCTGACTGCTGTATTCATGAGGGCCCTATTGCCACTCCTGCACGTGATCCGCCTGGAGGCGAGGGTGCTCCTCATCAAATAACAGACACAAATGTCCCTCCGATTGGTGCATTGGTGGTTTGGCGGTCCGTGGGTGGGGGTTCGGTGCGGGGGTTCCCATTTACCCTCTACCAAACATCTAAGAAGCAGGGGTTCAAATCCCAAACCACTAACCTCCAAAACACCAACCAAGGTGTTTACCTGATAACCATTCCTACAACCAAGAAACAGAGTGCATGCTGCAGCTTCAAACCAACCCAAGGACCAGACATTGAGAAACGGCCCAAAGCTGACACCGCTTGCCAACAGAGTCAACACCGGCTTTGCATCTCGCAAATCAAACCACCCGGCCGTTCTCCCACATAAACTCACAGCCAAATGTGTCTCGTTTTGTTTTTGACTTTTGTTTCCCCGAGGCCTCTTTGTGTTCTTCTCTTCTTTCCCGCAAAAAAACACGTAAAACAAAAAGGGCCCGCCTTTTGTTGTTTTTTTTGGATGGCCCCCCCCGCCGCCCCCCACCCCCCCTGCCCCCCACCCCTGCCCATTGGCTGCACGCCTTGGGCCTGTGGCCTCCCCAACTTGGGTCCCAGCGCAGGCGGCCACCTGGGCTCGCAGCCTGGCGATCGAAAAAGGAGGGAGGCCGACCGGCGGGAGTGGGGCCCCGGCGTTCCCGGGCGGTTGGCGTCGAGAGCTGCGTAGTTCAAGAAGAAGGCACCAAGAGAAGCAGCAAGAGACCAAAGGAATCAACAAGAGCGAAACTGCAACTAAAAAAAGGTTTGGTTCTGCTCAAGAATGAGTTTCAGCCAGAGAAGCAGCAAGAGACCAAAGGAAAAAAGAGTTGAACTGCAGCAACTAGTTCTGGTACTGTTTTGCAGGTACTGCACCTTGCAGGTTGGATACTCGAAACAACGGATGGTTCAGTTCCGGAAGGGATCATTCTATGGCTCTTTTTTTTTCTCTGAATCAGGGGTTTCAGCTGGGAACTATTCCAAGAATCCTCC